TTTCATCTCGAGACCCACAAAAACTACAGGGCTGAAACTTTTGGGACTTAATCTACATGCACATACGGGCCCCCGTCTCCAAAATGGGCGGTCCTGTCCGCGTGGCACCCGCGTAAGAGCCCGCCAAAATTTTTTTAGGGTGAGTTGATAACTTGCAAAGCAGGAAAGCTAGAAAGCTGAAACATTAAGGGAATCTTCCCCGTCCAGGTAGGTGCTAAAGAGCTCAAACCCAACCCCCGGGTAATCGTGGTACCCCTGTACGGGCCCGCCAAAATTTTTCCCGCGTAAATTCATAACTTGGGATTCTGAGATGCTAGGAAGCTGAAATTTTAAGGGAATGTCCCCGGTCCTAGTAGGTGCTAATCAGCTCAAACCCAACTCCCGGGTAAGCGTGGTACCCGCGTACGGGCCCGCCAAAATTCTTCCCGCGTAAATTCATAACTAGTGGATCTGAGATGTTAGAAGACTGTAACATTAAGAGAGTGTTTCTCTTCCACATTATTCTCAACGAGATCAAACCCAGCCCTCGGTCATGCGTGGTACCTACGCACGGGTTCATCAAAGTTTTCTCGGATAAGCTCATAACTCGAGAACCTGTAGAGCTAAAAGACTGTAGTTTTAGGAGGATGTCCTCCGTCCAAGTAAGTCTCAACGAGCTCAAACCCAGACGTCGGGTATGCGTGGTACCCGACTGCGAGCTCGTGAAAAACTTTTTCCAATGAATTGCTAACTCAGGAGCCAGGAAACCTAGAAAGTTGAAATTTTAAGGGGGTGCTTCCTACCAGTTTTGGCAGCTAGTCTTAACTTGTTTAGCTAGAAGGATCTGCCGAAAAAAACCGATGCCGGTAGCGACAAAAGCTGCGGGGAACAATACAAAAAACGCATCATCGCACGGACAGCCCGTGCGTTGGCCAATTATATTTACTGGATATCGTGGAGGACCGCCAGAACAACTGGCGTGCTGATTTGAAGTTACTATTGTTACTGGGAATGAACCTAAACATACAGCTTTATTTGCTCCTTCACTTATTTCTCTTTCTTTCGCTTATCCGTCTTGCAAATTAATTACATGACTACTCAAAACATGGCGGGTAGGAGGCTGTACTGATGATTCCCTCTTCTACTTGTATGCAAAGTTCGGTCTGTGCATAAAGCTAAGGGATGAAACACAGACTGCATCATAAAATGCCTTCGTACGCATGGCATTCAAGTGAAATCCTTCTGTTCTATTCATCGAAGACAGTTTGAGAAGTCTTCCACTTCCTCGTGGGTGCCCCTCGCTGATCGCGATACCCATCGCTCGTTAGTAGGGCGAACAACACGCTGTGCCCAGCAATTTTGCTTTGTCACCCAGCAGCAATGGCAACCAGCGCAGCGTTCATCTGACGGGAAACTGCTTGATTGAAAATTTTACAGGAAATCTACAGGGGACTTTGCCCTTCTCTGCCTCTTCTACATGGCCCGTATTTGATGAAGGAACAAAAACAAAAAAGAAATTTTGGCAGCACAAGGTTAGGCAAAAAGAATGCAAAATTATTCATATTCTGAATGCGAAGCGCACTCTGGATATTTTAAGGTAACAAGAGAAACTAATGATCATGGCCGAAATAATACAGTAGGAGATAAGGGACCAAAGTATCTTGTCCAAGAAGAAATGTTTGGAAGCAGTCTGTGTTTCATTCTTTAGCTGTAAACATAAACCGAAGTTGAGCATGTCCCCTCCCTCCCT